GACTGGCTGGGGAGTCTTGGCAAGTCGGACCAGCTAGCACCCGCCTGGGCGACGACAAGACACGGACATCCTGCAAAGGCCGCGACGGCGGCGGAATCCAGCCAAACGGCCGGGTCAGGGACGTTGCAGAGCGTGGGCGAAGATCGTCAGCCATGCCCGCCCCGGGGATGTGGTTGGGGTTCTCGAGGGAAACTTTGGATACCTGGAGACTACGCTCCAGTCCGGGACTAGGGCTGAAAGAATTTACGAACAAACGAAACGTTTACAGGCCTCCCGACGTCGATCTCTTGGAGAGTACGAGGCAATGAGTTCGGCAAATGAGGTCTCAGACACTTGGGTACCTTGCGGCGACAGAGTTCACTGAGAGGAACACAACTCCATGTACTCACCCAGCCCAACTCTGCAGCTTCTCAGACCTCCAAAGACGGCCGCTAGCACGCCAGATGGAACTCATGACCTGAAGGGCCAGACTACGTGGCTTCCTCAAGGCGTTGCATTCATCAGTATTACGGCATCGACGTTCACAAGTCGTTCTCACTTTACCTAAAATGAAACGACTCTCCCCGACATTAACAAGGCAAATAGCTAGCGAACCATGGGCCCCAGAGTTTGACTATCAGTTCATAGCGACGACGCCAGTGTAAGTATGGGGCTACGCCGTTGTAACGAGGCCAATTCATCGTGACCATAACATCGGTTGGAGATGCACAAGCCAGATTCAGACAACTCGCTTGGTCACCACAGGCAGAGACCACGTTCAGGGTGCTTGGGGTCAACTCGTCAGCATTACAAATCACTATGCATCTGCAACTCCAGTGTATCCGTAACTTACTGGCGACAATTAGTAAAAGGGTTGTGAAGCCTATCTTTGGCTCAGTGTCAGCTTCACCAGAGGGGATCGGTGCCTCACAAGTCAAGTATTACTCGTAACATTTGGAATGTGGCATTCGTTCAGAAGTACTAACGCGTGCCGTCTTCGAGTCGTGGTTTGACAAGCAAGTCAGCCGCAAGCCCATAAATCTTGGAGATCGCAGGGTACTTTACGCCAAACTGCGTCTTGGGTTGCAGCTCGTCGTCAAGCATAGAAAGGAGGCAGAGACAACCTTCAGGCACTGCATCTGGTCATGCTTGACTGCACATTTCCGTCTGAGAAGTCCGGTCATGCTGCCGGTATCAGTCATCATACTACTATGTGTGATGGAGGATTCTGGTTTTGATCAGACGGATGTATATTCAGTGCTTGTGTCCCAATATTGCTGGTCTTACTTGCCAAACTCTCAGAGTAAGGTAAGTTAGTAAGGATGTAGTGGCACGATCACGGTGCCTTGATATCATCGTGGAGAGCGGCGATGTGAGTGAGGCAACTCGACCAACCATACGCCAATGATGAATGGCTCGGTAGACCCCTATCCTGCTGCTCCATCTTCTTCGGATGCAGTTCCTCGAAGACGCGAGTTCTCCTTTTATCACGACCCTTATTTCCTTCGCAATAACCTTCTGAAAATTCATTCATCAGCTTTGAAAGCCATCCAGGATATTTATGAGAGCACAGTCTAGCGTGGGTGCCCAATTCACGCAGTGACATCAAGAGGACAGCATTTGGCAACTCAATGTAAGCGCCTCTAGGATAGAATCGGCCACGACATGACGGCAATAACACAAAAAGCTAAAATTTCTTGCCGCTTCGGTGCCATGTTGCGGAATCAAGTCGCATGCATCGGTAGCAGCCGTGATGGTGCTGGGCGTTGATGGCCGAAAGGCCCCGCACTTCGGCCGGAAACTCCGCGCCGAAACCGGCGGTCCGGGTACAAACACTGGAAACGGCCCCGGGCGCCGGGACAGTTGTGAACCTTCAAGCCTGCGCTAGCCAACAGAACTTCCGTGTCACCTGCTGTCTGCAATTTGTAGAGAGAGAAAAGAAGCAGTAAGTAAAAAGAGTCATTTCTTCATCCTAACATCTTCACCCGCATACCATCAATCTCCAGAGACACAACTCCCACCAGAATCATCAAAATAGCCGACGACCGCCTTCACCCACCGGACGATACCCGACGCAAGCTATCACCATGAACCAATCAAATCACCCCTTCAAACCTCCACGCTCCGATTAGGAAGGTCCCACAAACCAAAAAAGTTGCCCGCGGCATCTGTCCGACAGGCAAATCCATCCCCATAGGACGATTGCATGATAGCACATCATTGCTCAATGCTCCCCTTCTCTACGGAGTACAAATCTCCCCTCCCGTCCCATTGGGGGGTCCCTCCGACATCTCCGTATCGGCACCGGCCTCGAACAAAACACACTTACTCGCTGGCAGCTACTCCCGGCCCCCCGACACCCGGCCTTCGGCAATGACTGGGGTGCAATGCCGTTATCAATGAGAACCCCGCCAGACTCCTATCTCGGCGGGGGAAAGCTGGGAGGATGGCAACCGTTAGGAGCTCATGGGGTTTAGCTATCACGCAATGAGCCCGGCACGGCATAAGACTGCATACATAATGACGTTCACCCAGTCCCGCATGGCAGCCTCTTGCTATAATTCCTCCCTTTCCCTCAATTTTCGACGTTTTGCGGAGTCAAGTGGTGGTGATTGCTAGTCCTACCTTTGACCATAATCCATCAACAACCATCAGCGCCCCGGATTGCGCAAGCTCACAAGCTCTGGATGATTGAGTTGGTACATCATACTCAATCCTGGTCCTCAATCAGCACCAAACATAAGACATCTCCCTCCAGAAACCGAGTCCTCGGGACAAAACCCCTCAGCCCAAGATGCGCTCTCAATTCCTCCTAACCCTCCTCTCCGCCAACCTCGCAACCTCCTCCTCCCCACTCTTCAACGAGCCCCAGTACCCCTTCATTGAAATCGAGGACGTCCCCGATCCCATCACCAGTACCGGCTCCGGCTCCGGCCCCAACCATGCGGCCTCCTCCTCCTTCAAATGCGACCTCCCGCCCCCCGTAACCCCCTCCGACGGCCTCCCCTCCGCCCGCGACCTCTTCACCTCCAAAGCTGCCGTCCAGAAACAAGTCGAGCGGCACGCAGCCCTCGTCCGCGTCCCGTCAATCTGCTACGACGACCTAGGTGACTTTGACAAGGACGAGCGCTGGAACGTGTTTTATGAACTTCATGATGTGTTGAAGAAGACGTATCCCGTCTTGTAAGCCCTCCTTCTATTCCCCATGACTTCAAGACTAAAAACACACATGAACTGACAAAACCCCAGCCACGCCCGCTCAACCCTCCAAAAAGTAAACACCTTCGGCCTAGTCTACACCCTCCCCGGCTCCAACCCCTCCCTCAAACCCCTCCTCCTCGCAGCCCACCAAGACGTCGTCCCCGTAGCCGACACCGCCACCTGGAAATACCCGCCCTTCTCCGCCCACTACGACGGCGAATGGATGTGGGGCCGCGGCGTCTCGGACGACAAGAACTCCTTCACGGCCCTTCTCTCCGCCCTCGAGACTCTCTTGTCCTTCAAGGACACCGACGGCTCCGACAGCTACGCCTGGACGCCAACCCGCACCATCATCCTCGCCTCCGGCTTCGACGAAGAGTGTTCCGGCGCCCGCGGCGCAGGCCACATCGCAACGCACCTCCAACAGACATGGGGCAACGACAGCATGGCCCTCGTCCTCGACGAAGGCGGCATGGGCCTCCAGCAACTCGACTCCGGCACGCTCTACGCCCTCCCAGCCGTCATGGAAAAAGGCCACGTCGACATCTGGATCAACCTCCACGTGACGGGCGGCCACTCCTCCGTCCCCTTCCCCCACACCGGCATCGGCATCGTCTCCGAAATGGTCGTCGCCCTCGAATCGAACCCCTACGCCCCGCAACTCACAACCTCCTCCCCCCTATATGAACACATGGTCTGCCAGGCTCGCTACTCGCCCCTCGCCCAGCCCAAAATCACACAGCTCCTGGAGGAAGGCGACCTCGACGCCCTGGCGGCGGAGCTCATCGCCATCGACAGGCCGACGCACTACCGCCTCCAAACCTCGCAGAGCGTAGACTATTTCCAAGCCGGCCAAAAGATCAATGCCATGCCGGAAAAGATCAAAGTCGGCGTAAACTATCGCGTCGCGCCGCAGAACAGCATCCCCGAGATCCAGCACAACGTCGTAAAGTACATTAGCGGCATCGCCGAAAAGTACGGCATCAAGATCAAGGCGTTTGAGGGCGACGAGGAGTACGCAAAGTACGCTGCGCTGCACACGTCAAAGGACATTGGGTTGATGAAGAAGCTCGAGGATGGCGTGAAGCCCCTGTACGACGTCGACTACAACGGCACGCTTTTCCTCAGCCGCACCCAGGCGACGCTGCCTGCGCCCATCTCGCCTACCACGGGCCCGATCTGGGATCTCTTCTCGGGAACGCTGCAGTCCAGTTTCCAGTTTGACGGTGGCAAGGTTGTTCCCGTGGGCGAGCTGATGACGGGAAACACCGACACGAGGCACTACCTGAGTATGTTTTCCATTAGCGATTCGTATTAAACCCGGAGATGTAGGCGACGAGCTAACAAAGGACAGGTCTTACACGCAACGTCTACCGCTTCGTGCCCATTCGCAATGGGTACACCATCAATGCCCACACTATCGATGAGAGAATCAAATTCGACGCGCACATGGAGATCCTGAGATTCTACTACGATCTTATTCGCAACTTTGATGCCGCGGACGTATAAATAACTTATGATCATGAGTGGCACCCCCCCTTTAGAGAATGTGTGGAGAGCAACGTTTGGTCTCGGTCACTGTGGTTCAGTTTGGTCTGTGGAGCGAGGAAGCAAGTCTCAAGCACATGAACCGATAATGTGATATGAACAAGATAGTATGAATTGGAATCGAAGTCTAGATATGCAAGTGATTGTGCGGCATCCAGTCTAAGGGTATGCCTGGGTATGTAAAAAAATAACATGCTGAAAAGGTCCGAGGTCTTCTAAGATAGACCACTATTATGCAATAAATTTATCAAACATTAGATGTTTTCGACCCATCAATTTACTGTCTGCGTGACCAGAGGCCCGCCAGTAGTAGGCCAGGCCACGGCAGTCGATAGGGCGTACAAGTCAAACATGCGTGGTCCGCCACAGTAGTTGTTGGTAGCAGTAGTCGTCGTGAGCACACCGTTCGTCGAGAATGTGCTGACGCTTCCGTAGCAGTAGTCCTTGCAGGCACCGCGTCCAACCAGTGACGTTACGGCGGCTCCGTTGAATTCGAAGTTGCTACCGCCGTAGCACTCGTGGTGGTATTCCATGAACACATAGGATAGCTTGGTCGTCGAGGTCGGCGAGTTGCTGAAGAGCGAGTTGGCGTAGCCAATGCAAAGCTCGGGTGTGCCACTGTTATTGGCGAACAGTCCGGGCAGTGCGTGTCCCGCATTGCTATCCTGGAAGCAACCAATGTAGTAGTATCCGTTTGTGGGTGTGGCAGCCGGAGCGGCAGTGGTGCTGGCGAGAGAAGAACTGCTTGCTGTGGTTGATGCGGGAACAGTCGGTACGGGAATGGTTGAGGAAGAGGATGTCGGCGGCGCTGCGGAAGAGCTGCTGCTGACAGAGGGGGTTGTCAACGCCACGACGACGGAGCTGGATGAAGAGCTTGTCGAGAGAATGGAGGAGCTGGAGCTGCTAGAGGACGAGCTAGAGACTTGCGAAGAGCTGCTGACAATGGGCGAAGAAGACGACGAAGATAGTGCGCTCGAGCTGGACGAAACACTGGCAGTTTGTCCTGTGAATGCAGCCGATGTGGAAGTAAACAATAGGCTGCTAGACTGGCTGCTGGAGGAAGAGCTTGACGGAAGAGCGGACGATGAAGATGAAATTAGCGAAGCAGAAGAGCTCGAGCTCGCGATCGATGAGGTAGTCGATGCCACTATGCTTGAAGACGAGCTGGAGCTAGCCGGGGAAAACATGTAAAGGTCCAGACGCCCACCGGCACCACAGTATTGGAGCGTATTGCCCTTGCAGAGCATGTTGCAGTCTGTCAAGGCAGCTGGCAATGATCCAGCGTTCGTGGTGTTGCCACAGAAGCATTCGCGTGCGTATTCAATACCCATGTATTGCCAGTTGCCGGCAGAACAGAAGGTGGCGCAAGTCTCGACAGTCATCGTATCCGAGGCAGTGAAAGCACCCGTCAAGGCGCGAGTGTTGCTGCCTTCAGTCTGGCAACCCAAGAATTTGTAGTTACCAGCTTGGGGAACATGCTGAGGGGCAGAAGGAGCCTTGTTCGGGATCGTGTTGCTGTAGACCGACAATCTCGCTCCACCTCCGCACAAGCCGGTCTTTGAGCCAGCGCATGGCATAGAACAGTCTGACTCCGAGGCAGAAGTTTGGGACGCCTTGACATCCCAGCCGCAGAAGCACTCGCGGCTGTATTCGACACCAAAGTAGTTGAAAGCCCCGCCGTTGTAAGCCCCAGCGCTGCAGAATGCGGCACACTTGTTCAATGTCATATCATCTGCAGCCAGTTGAGTTTCACCCAGCAGGCGTGTGTTGTTGACGAGATCCTTGTAGCAGCCAGAGTACTTCCACTGGCCACTGATAATGGCTGGCATGGCGGAGTTGATTGGTGACGTGACCATTGTAGACGAAGGGCTGGAAGACGAGGTGCTTGATGAAGAGGTCAAGGTGGATGAGGCAACTGTGCTTGTAGCCGGCGTGCTGCTGGAAGACGACAGGCCAGTGGAACTCGAGCTGCTAGAAAGTCCTGTCGCGGAGGAGCTGCTAGAGATCGTGCTGCTGGAGGAGCTGGAGGAAGATCCGCTAGCAGAGGTCGTCGAGACTATGACGGCACTGCTAGAAGACACAATGATTGAGCTGGAGCTCGTTACAACAGGCGCAGATGAGCTGGAGCTGGAGCTGGGGGCGTTGAGAGAAGCGTAGAAACCGGCAATGTCGAATGAAGTGATGTCGGCGTACAAGCTCATGTGGCCACCGTCACCTCCGCAGGCTTGAGTATCGTCACCTGTGCAGTCAAAGGTGCAAAGGTTGAGAGACTCAGATCTGTACGTCGAGGGGGTCTTGATGCTGCCACCACACCAGCACTCTTGATGATATTGCACACCAGAGAGAATGTAACCCTTAGCAAGGCATAGAGTCTGGCACTGCTGAAGGGTGTTTGTCTTTTGCTGATCAGCCGTGTTGACCGAAGTCTGCAAGTTGCGGCCGGCACTGCTCGTGTCTTGGAAGCATCCAACCCATTGATAACGCGCGGTGCCGTTCGTAAGAAGAGGTCCGACCTGCTTCGAGACAACAGTTCCGGAGAAGGCGATGTTGTGTAGTCCAGACGCTTGACCAGTAGTGGGATCGTTACCGTCGGAGCTGATGGTCCACAGAGCGTTGAGAGCTTGAGACGGATGGTTGGGCTGGACAGGGGCAGCGTGAAGGCCTACGCTGCCGATGGCGCAAGTACCAGCTGCAACTTGCGTTCCCTCGGTGAGCTCGGCAGTAGGGTTCAGAGCAAATAGCTGAGACGTCGCAGGGGGTTTGGAGATGGTAATCGTTAAGGGAGCGCCACCCTTGTTGCAGACTCGGATTTGCTTGTCGACTGAGGTGCCAGCGAGAACATTGCCAAAGGCGACGCTGAAGTTTGTGAGTGCGTTCCAGTTGCCTGAACCGTCGGACAATTCAAATGTCACAGCTGGAGCATCGTTGACGGAGGCGCTCAACGTGAGGACAGAAGAACCACCGTTTGACCAGATGGCGACCTTTGAGGAGTAAGAACCAGCAGTGGATTGGAAGAAGCGGAGAGGAACCGAAAGACTCTTCCCAGAGTCCAAGGTGGACCCGACAGCAGGGAAACCCGAAGAAGTGAATCCAGCACCCAAAGTGCCGTCGCTGGTAAAGTTGGTGTAGGTACCAGCAGTGTTCTGCCAGGCAAACCCGGTGAAGGTAAGGGTGCCGTTGCCGATGTTCTGGAGCAGAGCAGTGGCGGTAAGACCATCGGGAGAATCCCGCAGCACGAGTCTTCCAAATGTGATGTCCGATGGAGTCGCTTTGAGGAAGGCTCCTTGCTTGACGACGGTACCCTGAACCGTCACAAAAGTGCTCGCGGCATAGTCTGCCGAGGCGTTTACAGCGAGAGTTATAGCACTGGTGAGGAAGCCCGGTACAACCTTTGCTGCAGTGTTTGAGAGATCCCAAGTCACGTTCAGGTTGAAGGATGTGCCCGCAGCCACCGCGCCTTGAGGGAGAGTCGAGTTGGAGCACGACCAGGACGCGTCAGCGACGGAACATCCAACGACACCAGCCAAGGCGACGTTGGCCTTGCAGCTGACAGTGGCGCTCGCGGTGGAGCCAAGTTCCAGGGAGCCAAAGTCGAGAGGAGAAGTGCAGTTGACGGCAGAGTTGACCGGTGCACCAAAACAGACGAGTTTGTTGGCGTTAACGTGGAAGAAAACTCGGCCGTCACCGAAAACGGGACGCTGGTACTTGTTTGTGCCTTGAGACGATGGAAGGGTGATGGGAACCATGACACCGTCCTGGGGAATAGCCTTGAAGGCCATGAGACCAGTGTTGACGTCAGTAATCCAAACGATTCCTGAACCAGCCTTGCCGTTGTCGGAGGTGACTGTCATTTGGCCGACACCAACACGGCCGGCAGAAATCCAGGTAGACTGGCCAGCAAGACTGAACTGCGGGACGCCCTTGGAGTCGAAGCCAAGCTTGTAGGCGACAAGGGCACCGCCGACGGTGGTCGCATAGATGTAGCCGCCCTCAGCAGGATAACTGCCGAAACCACCATACAGAGAGCCTCCAAGTTCGATAGTCTGCAAGACGCCGTCACCACCGTCTGAGGCCTGACGGAATCCGCCAAGGTTGTCGGCGTTCACGACATAGGTCCTGCCCTTCTTTCCTGCAGTTACGCCAATGCGGTTGACACCGGCTCCCTTGAAGACGGAACCGTCCAAGACAGCAAGGCCAGAGGAGCCGACATCACGGTCACCGGCATCAAGCGCGACGTAGTCGTAGGGCTGGAAGTAATCAATGAGAGCCCATTTGCCGGTGGCTGACAGCTCCATCTTGACGATACACTCATCGAGAGTCGACATGGAGATTCTACCACTCGCCGGAACATTGCCGTTGGCGTGTCCCTGTCCATTGCCAGCCACGAAGAAGACATTGTTGCCGATAGTGGGCAGACCCATGCCGCTCTGCCAAATACCTGCCTTGCCACTTCTTTCGTTGACAAGGTCGAGAGCCTGGGGGCTAGGCGCACCGGGAGCTGCCTCTGTCGCCCACATGCTCACCGGACCGACTCCTGGGGTCTTGCTGACCGATACGATATAACCGGTGTAGTTCCAGCGGCCGCAATGCGATCCGAATGCAGCAACAATGTGGCCGTTGAGCTCTGTCAGGGCTGGGCGCTGCAGGGCCACACCACCAACCAGATATCGGCCAGGGTCGTTGTCGGCATTGATACCGTCGATAAGAGTCGGGAAGCCGGAGACGTCCTCGAGACTGGGAATGCGAAGAGCATACATCTTATAGACTCCGTTGGCGGTGCCGGAAGTGGTTCCATCCCGGTAACCTTTTGAGAAGAGGTACATGATGTCGGTGTTGGGGTCGATGATGGGGGTTCCGGTAACGCCGATGAAGTCGGGAATATCACCACAGTTGCTGTCGGCGGCCAAGAACGGTGCTTGGAGGGTTCTCTCCATCAGGCTCTTGCCGGTCTTGCCGTCAAAGACACGGATGATGTTCATCTCGGAAGCGGTGATGACGAGTTCGGATCCGCCATTGGGGGTGTAAACCAGGGGCTTGGCAAGCCAGTTTTCCTTGGCATTGGGGGATTGGAACGTCCATAGGCTCTTGAAGCCAGAAGAGCCTGCAACATTGGGGTTCAAGTTGTGGTTCGGAAGATAGCCGGATTGAGGTGCATCCTGTAGGGGGGGAGACAGTCAGTAGATACTCGGTCAAATGCCCCCCATGGTGCTGGTATGCGGAGGTCTCGCCGGCTGCCGGGGGCAAGCCAGTGTAAGTGGGCATGGGAAAGCGGGACTTACTGCATCGCGGTATGAATCGGTAGAGGCAAGTGAAGCAACAAGCACCGGCAATGAAGCCAGCACTCCTAATGAGAGTCTCATGCTGGGCTGTTGAAGAATGAAAGCAGTTAACAATCGAATGCCTGCTTCGAGTATAACAGTCCCAGAAATGCCGCGAAAAGTGAATGGAGATGAGCACTTAGTGATGATGGCATGGTGGAATGGTTCGGGGCACAGGGCGGATAATAAACAAAAGTATGTGCCTGCCAAGTCTGCAGGCCAAGGTCAAGGTCTCAAGGTCTGAACAGTCTGATGGTAAGAGCCAGCCTAGAGGGCGACACAACGGAGGACGAGCAGGGCAGCTGTCGTCTGCTTCGAGACCGTTGTTAGTCGAACACATGGCGCGAGCTAGGGCCGGTCGAAGGCAGTTAGCCGGCGATGCAGAAGCCCCTCCCAGGGTGACTGCAAGTGCGAGAGCCTAGTGTACGGTGAACGGTTACTTGGAAACTGGAGTCTAGACAGTAGTGACCGTACGGCGTACGGATAGAGGGAGGTGAATCGGCGCATCCATGCTTGGGGCGGGCTGGATTTGGGTTGTTTCGACTGGCGATGTTGGGTTCCGTAGGGATGGTGCGGATAGCCAAGCCTAGTTTGATTAGGGCGAGATATTGGAGGCGCCAGAGACATTTCAGGACAAGCGAAAAAAGCACAGCTGGGTAAGCAGGGAAGTCTTGTCTTGGGAGGGGGTCGATCCGGCAAGGACCATCTAAAACACCATCAAGCGAGCGCACGCTCATGTTCTGAGCGTAGGACGCGTAGACAAGACTGGATTCGAAGAGGCCAAGACAGATGCATGGTCAGAGACCTTTAGGAACCAAGGGAGCGGAACGGGACCGGGCGCGACGGCGACGGCGACGGCGACGGACGGCTGTGCTCGACTCGCTGTGAAGGCATCAAGCACATGTATGGTGTTGGTTGAAGCCATGGGGACCTGGGGAGGGGGCCACAATGTGTCCGGACTGTCGGATGGATCCGTGGAGAAGGCCATGTGACGAGCCAGGATTAATTCGGATGGCAGGCCTCTCATCCAGAACAGAAGGGAAGCAAGACCATTGATTTTTCTGTCCATCTCTCTCTCTGTCTCTCTCCCACACTCCGTATCCCATGGCAGCACAAAAGTCCACTTGGATCTGGAGCTGTTGAGGGCTTGAGGCTGGTGACTCGTGAGGTTGGGTTCAGTCCAGCACATCAGCAGCCGCAACCGAAGCCGCAACGGTGTGCGCGCCTTTTGCACCTCAGCTGGTCGGTCGAAGCTTTGTGGCTTTTGGTCTCGGGTTTGGCGTTTGCCTGGGTAACTTACTGCACCCTGAAAAAAAAAAAAAATCTTCCATTGTCATCAAGTCGGAGCTGAAGCGGCCGAGGGGCGTAAGGGAAACAATCCGCGTGGTTCAAATCGCGTCTAGACCTCGAAGGGGAAGGGAAACGACCGACACGCGGCGGCAGCTAATTACTTTTGCCTTGAGTAGATTGGCTTGGTGTTGGTTCACCGTTCCTTTTTGCATATCGGCAGAATAAGATCTTCACAGACGCATCCGAAGTTTGAAGACATGAAGAAGCAAGCAACAGCAAGCGCGACGCTTGCCAGTGACCACGGACAGTGGTGCATGGGAGAGCCAAGGTTCTAGTCGGGTGAGGCGCGAGAAAGGCACGAAAGGAAGGCCAAAAAAAGAATCAAACGGACGGAAGAGCGGAGCAAAGTGCAAACACTCGGAGACTTGAGAAGTTGAGACGAGAGAGAGAGAGATGGACAGGGAATGAGGCCTGGGGAAGATTAGGTGGCTTTTTTGTCTAAACCCGATGTGGAGTTATGGGGTCTTGAAGCGGAGGGCGGCGTAGGCGGGGACAACCCTCGAATCACGCACCTGCCTTCTGCGACACTGGACACAATGGATGAGGGAAGGTGCCGTGGTCACTGGTGCCGTGGTCACTGGTGCCGTGGTGCCTCAAGGCTCAAGGTGAGGTGCTTGCCTTGAACAGTGTCCATATGCCGCAGAGGTACCTTAAGGCAAGGGTCTGGAAGGCACCACCACCTGCACTTGGACTTGCACCTGCACTTACACCAAAGTTTCCGGTACGGCTGCACCTAGCCACGTCGCACTTTTCAGCAAAACACCACGAGTACCTTTCTCCGGCCGCTTACCTACCTAGGTACGTACCTTTTGCTAGAGAAAGATGTGCACTGGTTAGCTCCATCATCTTATTGTGCATAAGGTTGCTGGCGCTAGCCATGCACGCTGCTGCAAGCTGCAGTCTGCAAGGGCGACAGCACGCGGCTGGGGTTCAGCCGGAGAGAAGCTACCGCGGAACACCTGAGAAATAGCGTCCACGCCTTCTCCCTTGCCCATGAAGACCATGCACCCATCGCGAGGGCACGAGGTGATGACGTCCACTCAGGAAGTTGGAGGGAGGCAGGGTGGCCTCTCGCTGGCTTCTTCACCAAGCTCACCTTGACACGAGGCCGCGACTATTGAATCTTAATCCTCGTCGTTATCGTACAAGTTGGGAGGGGAAGATCGATGAGGCACGCATGAGGGAAGCCATGGTGCAATTTGCCAGTGACGTCCTGCCCTCGTTCTTGTCACTCTTTCCCGTTCTTTCCATCTCCCCTTGGGCGGAAACTCACTGACCAGGGCGGAAGAAGAGGAAGGACCGTCCGATACCCCGTACGTACCTTCCTATGAATATACGTGCTCGCCAGCCGGACGCTGGGGCGCACCTTCCGCTGCCCTTCCATGAGTGGGGGTGGCAGGGTGGCAGGGTGGCGGCCCAAATCGTCGGTTCCAACATGTTTTGGGGGCAGCTACGGTCGACGGTCGTTTGTTCGTGTCTTCCTGCTTCTGCTTCCTGCCTCAGTAGCACTTACCCCGCCATGGAACATCACCACGAGGCTTCGCTTCGGTCCCCGTGGCGGATAAGCAGCGTTTTCAGCTTCTCACCGACTTGTATCCCCGTGTCTTTGTCTTCTAATTCTCGTCACCGCCAGTTTGCCTCGAGTTTGTCGCCATGTGAGTTGCCGTCTCATCACGAATGCGTCTCTCATAAATGCCTTGAGCAAGCAACAAGTTGCCAACAACCGCCACGTCAGGCCAGTGCCAGCTGAAATGGCCCTTTTCTTTCTTTTCCACCCAGCTTGTTCCACCAAACCACAAAAACGCAAATGGAGCATTGATAGATCTCAAACATTGGCTGCACATTGGTACTCGGCTGTATTATGACAGACGCCTCCAAGGCCCCCCTCGTACGACTCACCCGCGTCCGCGACACCTTCGTGGCTCTCTACAGCACTTGGTCTGTCTTGTCTTCATCCCGCGGCACCTCAACTTCCGAGTCACCGTCTTCCTTGCAGGCTGCAGCCGTCACGTCCCGTCTGCAACGCTGCAAACCAACGTAGGGCGCATAAAGTGCAATCTTGCACACAAACTAGTCAATTTTCATTCGTCGGATGTTTTCTTCGTCTCAAGGTCTGTTCGTCACATTACGGGTACTCCCTTCTTCGTCGTCCCATCTCACATGGCTATCCCTTGGCTGCAGTCACTTGGGTAGGTAGTCTCCCGTCGTCTCATGTCGGAGACCACGGCCCATCACACACTCACTCTAAGGTGCCTTGAGGTGTGGTCTCTTTTTCATGTGTGCTTGTACTTACTAATTCGCGTAAGCGCGGCGCCAATGTAAGGTACCAACGGCACTCTTCACCCCTTGATGAGGCACAGACAAACTTCCCATCAACCTTCTATCTCTATCTTTGTCTGCACTACATTCTCACCATCAGCCGTTTCCCTCAGAGAATCAGAGAGAAACTACTCTAACCGGAACGTGATCGAATGGCCTGTTTAGGCAGTCTGCTCGGGCACTACTCACTTTGATTGAAGATGCGGCTACCCAACTTTGGCAGACTACGAAAAAGGCCAGCCTCTTTTCGGTCATTATTCCGAAGCCACGCCGATTCAGCGTCCGGTGAAGCATCGAAAATGCCGACATTTGCGCCATTTCTGCTGTCTTTACCACCCTGACGGAGAGGCTGATACCGCGACCGCTGTTTCTGGCTTCCATCTTCAAGGAAGGACTCTTTTCGCGGCTTCTCGCAGCGCATACAGCGATCACCAAGACACGGCAACGGCCACATCACAACTCCGTTCAACATCTGGCCTACCCCTTTTCTTTCTCACCATGGTCTCCGTCAATGCCGAGGGTCTCTTCTAGATGCCTTGTGGGTCGGCGAGTCGCCGTTGCTATCAGCCGTCTCGAAGTGCTCAGTCTCATTAGCTCTTTATCACAGGCCTTCACAAACTCAACATGTCGCAAAATACCTATGCGGGTTTCAATCGCCGATTATGATAGCGCGCAATCTGGCAGTGTTTCGAGACCTCAGTTGACATGATCCATCATCGCTCAAGTGAAGGGATGATTTCCCCAGGTCCCGAATCCTCGGGATTGGCTTTGATCTCACGTCAAGAACTGTCGCACGTCGCAATCCACATGGCAAGTTGCGGCTCACGAGGCTTCAACCCTTCACGAGATGTGGACGGAACAGCACCAGCGGTGAGGCGTTCTTCTGCCAGCACCATCTCAAAAAGCCACACCAGCTGGACATGTTTCAGATCTACAGAGCGGCCTGCGAAGCCACCTGGGTCATAGCCACGCTGTGCAGGTGCCAAAAGTCGATGCCAAGGAGGATGCCGTCGCCGCCACCACATCCGTGTGTTCTCTCTTGTTTTTTTGGAATCTTCCGAGAGCCGGTCCCCGAGTGCCCATTGTTTACCACGTCGATCACGACGCCACATTCGCTGGCGGCGTTGCTCTTTCTTTGCATCGGATCTGAGAAGCCTCGAACCAATCGTTCAGGGTCGGCCGTCTCTCCCGTGCGGCTCTTAACGCCTCACTCCTTCATCTCAAGTTTGGACGAGAATTCAATGCTAGTTCATCTCGGTTTTTCTGTACCACGTTGTTGCTCCACTTAACGCCCCTGAGTTCTCAGCTCGTCACAGCAGCAACACAAATCTGATCCGCTACGGAGACTCTTACTTGAAAGAAGCATCGTGAAATGCGCTATTCGGCCAGCTCCATTACTTTGTTCTTATTCATCCTGCGATCAACCAGTTAAGCACGGTTCTCAGGTGGTGCTAGACCACTTAAGCATGAAATACGTTCTCTCGCCCCTGTAGAAAAGGTCGCAGTGGGTTCGCGAGTCAGGGGTGGTCCGCCACGGGGGCGAACCCTTCTTGCAGAAAACACCCAAAAATACGAGTAGCTGAAGGTTAGCGGCCTCGGCACTGCGACGCCGTGACCAGTCTCCACCGTGAAGACGAAAAAAGATTGAGGCGTCTGAAGTTTGCCGGCCGGTATTCACCGTACTCAGTTTCCCCTCCCGCATCTTCGACATCACGACAATCAGACGACCAATCAACACCCGTCACCTCAACTTCAGATTGTGATATCGTTGGGCTGCGCTCTGTCTGCATTGAGACCAGTCATCGCGACTGAGGCCGGGAATGCTCGCACGCCTTGGTCTGGTAGGGCTTGTGGCCACCTGTGCCTCAGGGGCCTATGTGCAATGGCAGGGCTGTGACGGCCCTTCAAGCAAGACAGATGTCTTCGTTCCCCAGAGTCTGAGTGCCACTTTGGTGCCGTCAGACGATGGTCGTCAGAACCAGTTGGCCCTACGTGTCGGGAGATGGATGGAGGAAGCGGAGTGCCAGGAATTGGCGCGAAGGATGCCCTCGGCAACACTGGAATTTGAAATGCTGGGGCGGTCTGCTGTGTTTCATACCATGACCAAGATAACATGTCAGAAGCTCAACTTCTCCAAGAATTGGCGCTCGCCACTGGTCAACCCTGTCAGCCTATATCTATCCATTTCTGAAGATGTCGGTCATCTGCCGCCATTGTCGACGTTCCACACGACTTTGCACCTCGAGGGAAACGACTCGGAGGAGATTAGCTGTCGAGAAGCAAACATCACTCCAGCATTAACTTCAACCATCACCTCAATCATCACGTACTCGACATGGTCCATCTTTCTCTTTGTGCTCATTGTCGGCATTCTACGCTCTGCCTACAGCACACCGATTACGCTGGACGATGTGGATGACGAAGAACGACGCTCGATCCGGACGGTCCTGCCGAACGTAGGGGATTGTCTCCAGTACCTTCAGTTCATCTTCTTGACTGGCGGGCTCAGTTTGCGGTATCCCGGGTTCTACCAGCCGGTAGTCAGCCATCTCAACTTGTTTTCGCTTTTTATGAACGGCCCTATCACCCACGGAGTGATGTATGACAGGGTCGAGGACGGCATCTACGTATTGAATGGCACCTACGGCGGTACGTACGGCCTGGAACTCATGACCCAGATCGCCGGCGCACCAATGACAATGGACACTTGGCTGAACATGGTGGTCATCATGTTCATCATTGCCGGTGGTGTCGCTTTGGTCCTGGAAGTCGTCTGGTTCGTGAAGCGAAGCCGCGACTCCGATAGTGAGTCTTTACGTTCGGTCGGCGGTATTAGACACACGTGCAGTCGTGTCTTGCGTGGTATCTTGTCATATTTCATGTTTCCGCTTGCTGCCTTGTCTTTTTATCAGCTCGATAATGCCTCGATCCTACCCGCATACCATATATCAATGGCTGTCGCACTTATTCTTGGCATGATGGCCGCTTTCATCTGGCTTATCCGAAAGATTCCTACTCGCAGCCTAGGCGTTCTCGTTTTCGATAGCACTAAGCGTTATCGTCACCTCCACGCCGTGGACGATGCCCGCCGCCGAGATGGAACTTTCGTTTTCGTCTTATTCGCCCTCACATTTGTCCGGGGCGCCACCGTCGGTGGTCTGCAGATCTCCGGGCCAGCTCAACTGGCCGTCCTCGGTGCCTGCGAGCTTGTGCTCTTGGCCAGTATTGCCGGGTTCCAAGCATACTCAACATTCTCCATCGGCAGCATTGCGGCCACCATTCGGCTTTGCAGCTTGGTTTTCCTAGTTGTATTCTTGCCCGGGCTCGCGACAACGAACGGTGTCAAAAGTGCCGTCGGGTACCTTCTTCTAGCTGTTCACGGCGGTATGCTTTTACTTGGCTTCTTTGTTCCTGCTCTCTGTGAGCTTTCGAAACTTGTCGAGGGCTGGTGGACAGCACCGCAACCTGAGGTAAGCTGAAAAGGCGGCGTACCTAATAAGCTTTCTAACACGTGCTTTGCAGATCTATGGTCTTCGCCAGCTTCGTCGACGTGAGGTGTCAAGAACCAACCTTGCATCAATGTACACTGCTAGCTCGCCAGACACATCGTACCCAGAGCCGAGCGCCGTCGAATCACCCAACGCCGGCTATCTTCGACCGACGTACCGATCGGACAGTCCCAGCACTATCCGCCTGGACTCTTCGACTACCTCTAGTCGATACTTCCGGCCGCCGCGGTCCAGCGCGTCCATCTCGTCGGTTGAGAACCCGCGTAGTTTCGGCTCCTCCTTGTACACTTCTTCTACGCCTTCCAGAACGACATCGACATCAACCACGTTGGTAGACAAGCGTTCTGTCCAGCGATCCGAGTCAATTATGTCCCCTAGCCGGCTATCCGAGTCGACCGAGGAGGAATCCAGTTCGACATCCCAGAGGTCACCTACTAGACCCAGTGATGGGCCCCTCGGGCCGCGGTGGAACGACTATTCCTTCCGTGAGGCAGATCTCTACTACAACGTACCTCGCCCGCCGCCAGTAGAAAGAGCATCAGAAGAACTGCCCAGACCACCAGCTCCACGACCCTCCTTCCGGTCTTCATCCGGACTATGGGCGAGAGTCACTGGTCAATCCGGGACGAGTGAGCAGGGGTTCCAGGTCGTCCGACCTCGACCGGCCTCGGAGCAAGGCTTCGTGGTTGTTCGACCCAACAGGCCGAGTAACCTCGGCAACGGTGCTCCGGGGAGTGCGTCCAGGGCGCCACAGTGATTTGTTATGCCTGGTATCATTTTGACCAAAGACATTTTCCGTGGATCTTGACCGTTGAATTTTGCGAATTCATTTCACAACATTGTATGTATAAAAGTTAAAAGCATAATGCGGCGTTGGAGGATATTACTTGGCAGGTTACTTATGGCATTCGGCCAATTGCCTAGGCAAATGACATCAAAATTATGATTTGGTATAACTTGGAACGATTTTGGATCACAAGAGTGGAAGGATAGAGAAAGGAAATATCTATTCCACGCTTTCTTATAATATTCATTCCATTTCAACCTCGAAATAACTCCCCCAGGTCACTGAATTCCACGTCCGGCAGTTGCCTAATTCGATCCAGTGGGTATTCTGAAACGCCACATGATTGGTCAAGACGACCCCAGCAAAACCACGACAACATGCCCGCATCTCGAGATGACATTGAGCTTAGATCAACAGCAATTCAGAACCTACCTTGGCCAGCTATTTGATATTGACACCATCATGTTCAAAGTCCTGATTACAAGAAATTATGAAGAGATATGATGCCTGCTATATCACGTGAGCTGACTCGAGCTGCTGCCTGAAGACGAGTAAACTGTAACACGGAAAAGGGATCCCGATTCTTCTGTATAAAAAGCTGGTTTGCGTCCCTACTCTCGAGAAAATGAAACTTCCAGACACTTGTTTCTTATCTCTTGAGATAGTTACTCGGTTTTAAGTGATACTGTTCAAATGTACGCATCCCCAACAACCTCTGCCATTTCCTCCAGCTCATAAGAGTTGACCATAACTAGACAAAATCCAACCGACCAAATGCCGTCCTCCACGCATTCCCACCCCGCAATCCCAAACACAGCATCATTTATAACCGAAGCACGCGCAGGCTTCATCGCCGATCTGGACTCGACACCGTCCACCGCCAAAGAAAGGCAGGAACTCTTGACCTCGATCCAGAGTTTTGCGTTCCAGTTCCTCAAGGCCGCCGCTCAGCCCCCTCCCTCCCATCGACATGACATCAACACGGAGGACGACATATCGAGCGTTGAGCAGCGAGACGTAATTTTTGCAGCAGAGGCAAATATGGATAGAGATAGAGATACAGATGACCTCGCGCAACAAGGTCTCAACGTCCTCTGGTACATGTTCACACAAACCGCACAGGTAATCGACGTAGACGACGCCTTTCAGGATCGTCTTGTGGGGTTACTTGCGTGGACGAGGGAGTTTGATGGGGTGTATAGACAACTTCATGGCATCGTGGGAAGTGCTGGTGGTGGTGCTGGTGGTTGGGATTCGTATGGGTTCGGGCAAGGTCTGCGGCTTGCGTGGGAGCAACTCGTTGCGGATGTTCACTTGCCGAGCGCGATGCAGAAAAGTCGGAACCTCGCTGCGTTCTCTGCAAAGGTGATGGCTGTTGGGTTGTGTAAGGAGTCTGTGGCTGGGACTGCGTTTTGGGTTTTTGAGAGGGCTTTAGGAGGGGATGAGAATGGGGACGGGGACGGGGACGGGGGTGAGATATTTCTGAGAGGGTTGGTTGCTGCTGTTGGAGTGTGGTTGGAGTATGCTTCGCATCAACTCCTCGCGCGTTGCTGTTCTTCTCCATCCTGCGTCGTCGGTGGTGGTCGTCGTAAGGTATTCGTAGAGAACCCGATCTCGTTAGTTGACGACCTTTTGAAAGACCAAGCGACTGCAGAACCCCAGTGCGGCGAGTTCAGCATGTCGCACTGGCTGCGCTGGCGACGCCGTCTCCAGGAACTGAGTCGCGATGCCGATGCGGACGTGGCGAGGTTGGCGAAGAGGGGGTTCATGAGTATGATTTTCTGTGGGAGGGATTTGAGGGTTGAGGTGGAGGGCGAGGCGAGGTTTGTGGAGAGGTTGCAGGGGAATATGTATCGGGAGCTTGTGAGGAGTGGGAAGGATGTTGTGGAGGGGGAGGAGGTTGAGATTGAGGTGGATTGGGTTGATTGAGTTTGTATGTTGGAGAGAGGATGTTGGGGGTTGGGAGGTTGGGTTTGGAGGGTAGGAAGCTTGGCTGGGAGAGGGATGCATCTTATTCCTTTTGCGAACTATCAGATCTTTGAGTGTAGGGTGATACCTTTACTCGGCGACGATGGATCATGATTCCCTCGAAAGATGATGTCTACACTTATCTTGGTCATTAGAGTCTATCTTGATTCTGATTGAAATCAACATCCATGATAGGTGGCTACGAAAAGTTGTGGTTTATGGTACACGTTTGATCAAGCGAATGAAGCAGCAACAGTCTTAGAATTAAGCACCTGATCATGTTTCTTCCAGCCCAGTAGTTCAGTTCCGACAAAGGTGAGTTTTGAAACTTCTGGAGAGAGATCCAGCTAAGTGGATCCTTTAGAAAGATAGATGATGGTGATATCAGGCGCGTGGTAGTATTGAGAGTCGCTGATTATCAACACCTGCACTGTGATTGAATATAGGGGTACTTGAACGATAACTTAGAACTCTGTTCTCACATTCCACTTCAACAAAGCTCAAAGTCACCAGGCCATGTCGACAAAGATCACAACGATGACATGCGCCAAGAGATAGAGACAGAAGAGCCATTGACGTGTAGAATAACGCCATGTTCGTAAGTTGTTTGTAGATTACTATAAGTAGGTACACATTATACATTCAGAGGCTCAGTGGAGCTTGAGCGACTTTGACGTGGCGCGAGGCACTCTCAGCAAGTCAGCTACTCTTGCACATGCGCCCATTATTGTCCACAGTCCAAGCCTCGCTACCGACAGCAGCAACATTATACAGCAGACCCTTGGGATCGTACTTGTTCTTGATGCTCAACAGCGTGGGGTAGTTTACGCCGTAAAACGTCTCCTGCCAATCCTTCTGCTGGAAATCGGCCTCGTTGATGTACGCGCCCGCGCCCGGCGTCGCGGCTTCGATGACGGGCTGCACGACCTCGGTCATGCGCGTCTGCTCCGCGACCATGTCCTCAAAGGGCACCTCAAAGCTCCAGGGGAGAGTCAGGGAGACCTGGACGATGGAGTCGCGCCACTGGGGCAGTACGGCGTTGAACTTGGCGTTGTCGGCGCCGTCGTGGCCGAAGTGGGAGACGTTGAGGCCGACGCCGATGTAGGTGACACCCAGCTCGACGAGTGACCGGGCGGTGGGGCCGAAGTCGGGGAGGACGGCGCGGGGCAGGAGGCGGCCTCCGAAGAGCTGGGTGCCGACTTGGATGTTACCCGAGGGTAGGGGGCCCCAGTAGTTGTTGTAGTGGTCCCGGTAGCTGTCGAAGGAGGTGAGGTTCGGCTGGAGGGTGATGTTGAGCAGGGCGAGGGAGTCGGTGAAGGGCTGGAGGATCTGCTCGACTTCGGCCTGGGTCTTGTTGTAGGCCGTCATGGCCGGGGACTGGAGGAAGCCCGGGCCGAAGAAGTAGATGATCATGACGCCCGAGTCGACGATGGCCGGGAGAGCGGCGTGGAAGGCGTCAATGACCTGGTACAGCGTCTCATTGTCGGCGACGGTGACGGCGAATTTGGCGCCGCTGACGGGGGCGTCGGGGTGGGCTCTGGTGGTGATGGAGGTGACGACGCCGTAGTTGCCGCCGCCGCCGCCGCTCAATGCCCAGTACAGGTCCTCATTCTCTGCTCTCGAGGCAGTAAGGAGCTCTCCCGTCGGGGTGACGACCTCAAAGGAGAGGGTGTTGTCGGCGGCCAAGCCGTAGATGGTGCTCAGAGCAGAGTGGCCTCCAGCTTGAACATACCCTCCGGCAACGCCAACGGTGGGGCACTCTCCCGTAACGACGGCGAGCCCAGCATCGTTGGCGGCGGCAATGGCCTCGAATCCTTGCACGCCCGCGCCGGCCTTGAGGGCCTTGCCGGCGTAATGTTCATCCTCCCAGTCCACGATCTCGGTTCCCTTGAGGTAGTGGGTCCAAATGGCCAGGGCACCGGCACCGGTAGACCGGCCGTTGTAGTCGTGACCCGTGTTGCGGATGATGAAGCGCACGTTCTTCTCGTCTGCGAACTTGAGCGCGGCCTGGACGTCGGCGGGCCCAGAGGCGTTCACTGCGTAGCTGACATAGTTGCCCAAGATGCAAGGGACGTCTTGCGCCGTGAAGGGGTCGCAGCTGGCGTTGGCGAACAGGGGGCCATGACCGAGGAGGAGGACTCCATGCTGCAAAAGTTGGGCGCGAGTCATTAGTCCTTGTCCATGATATCTCCTCACACGCGCGAGACGCGGGATTTGATCACGCAACTCCCCAAAGAGGGAGGTGTGACTACGAGCTGACTTGGAGTCGAGAAGCAGAGGGAAAAGAGAGAAAGAGAGAGAGAGAGAGAGAGAGAGAGAGAGAGAGAGAGAGAGAGAGAGAGAGAGAGAGAGAGAGAGAGAGAGAGACTCACTGAACTTCCGAGTAGAGCCACGCCTCCTGAAGACGAGCGCACTCAGTCGCATTGTAAGCATCTCCGTGGCATGCGGTTCCCAGCGGAACGGTAGCGACCAGACGCCCCCCAACGGTCTCGTTGAGCTGCGCCCAGGTGTTCGCAGAGGGCCATCCCGCGTCTCCGGGGAGATACTTGCACGAAGCCGTCGTCGAGTTTGTCGAGCTGCCCAGGTCCGAGCACCTTGCGGCAACGACGGAAGCGCTCCCGCCGGCCAGGACCAAGGAAGCGAGGATCGAAGTGCGCATCTTGGCAATGGGGTAAAATAAACCTGAAAGGTTATTTCGAGGGACGGGAACGTGCCTCTCTAGGCTTTAGCCTTGCTCGCAGATCGCTGCACAGTCCGAGCAGCAAAACGCAGACGAAAAAGGAGGCGGAGGAAGACGATGTCGCGAGAGTGAAAAGGCGGAGAGGGGGGGGAGGGGGTGAGACCGTGAGAGAGAAGGGGGCCAAAAGAGACAAACCACTCTGGAAAAGTTTTACACGAGGCAGATAGATGCCTTCCTGATATTGTATATGCGACGCTGCCCAAAGTGGACTCTTCCTTTACTAATTTGCCTCAATCTGTGTTTACTGTTTGTCAAGACGAAAAGAGTGGCAACCGCAAGATAAGATCCTGAAAGACACCATCAATATTTCCACTCGGTGACCAGCACTTTCTGCGCGGTTTTGCACAAGTCTGGACATGATCTCCGAGGTTCGTCGGGGTGAGTGAGCACTGCGCCCCCCCGCATGCCGGTGCCGTCTGCCGTTGGTCGGCTCATCTCTGCTGACGATTCGTACCTTGCATGCCTCCATATGCAGGCGGGCGAGTCGTTGGGACCAACAACAAATTGCGGCACTACGGATACCATATAAGATAAGTAAGAAATGTAAAATTTCTCTCTCTCTCTCCTTGGCCCGCCTAATCTTCGGTAAACTGTCAAATGGAGAAATCCAAAAGCCGTCTTTCCGCCACAAACCCTTGAACCGACGGTGTAAAACCGCTCTTCATAATCTTGGCGGCCGGGGGGGTTTATAGTTGCCGCAAGGGTCGCGGGGCGGGGGACCCACATCCGGGGTCGCTCCGGCCTCCCGATTTGCCTCGCCGGGCTCGCCGCATCTCGGTACCCCTGCCCGCGCTTGACTCGTGAATCCTGGCGGGACGGACCCGGATTATCCGCGAAACCTTAATCTTGAAGAACCGGGATTTCTACAGGTTAGGCTCCTCTGTAAAGATCAGATATCATAAATGGCGGCCTTGTCGTTCATTTCGTTTTTATGCCCTGCCGGACTTGCAACGCCAGCTTCCTGGGGTGATTTTTTCTCCCTCCCTCTCTCTCTACGAAGCACTTCAAAGTTGTATCACCGTACCGTCGTACGGGTACTGGATAACAGGGCGGGAACACGGGCTTTCTTGGGGAACAGATTTGATCGATGATCGATCAGACGTTCGCCCACCGGCCCAGGCTTTGCTCGAGCCAGGGAAAAGCGAGGCGAAAGTTTGAAAATAGATGAGCGTGAGGGATACGAGCCATGTCTTGGATGGTGTGTTTTGCATAGTCTCGCAAAGTTGCGAGGGTCTCACAGACACAAGATCGGGAGGGAAAGGTATGGGAGGGTCACAACCAGGGAGGGAGAGGCCTTCGAGAGTCGAGACACAGATCCAGACAAGGTGTGGTTTGTGGGTGTCTTCCTGTCTCTGTCCAAGTCTCTGAGACTGAGACACAACGCGCGCCGTTCAGCGAGCTTTTTGTAATTCAGAGCCGGATCTCCAGGAACAAAGCCCATATTCCAAAAAGCCATCGCCGACGCTAAACTATGTCACACCTTGCCATAACGTCAGGACCTGTCCTCCCCGCATGGTGGCCACGAGCTTAAGCTTGGCTTCGCCAAACTAGTGAACTACGAAGTACGCATGCGGCAAATGCGCACCAAAGCCCACCACCGAAACGACGCTGCAGCATCCTTCCCGCCCGGCTAGATTTCGCCTTTGAATCTCTTTTGGCGCGCGCCGGCCGGTTAGCCTAGCGTAATTCTTTGAGAGTAAGGTACGGAGTACTTCGTACAGAACAGGCAGAGTAGAGAGCGGGGGCCATAGGTAAATCGTCAATCATGGCCCTGGCACACACATGTGGAGAACCTGGGAGCCCGAATCTCTTCAGCAAGCCACTCGCGCAATTTCGACGCCTCACACATGCAGTGCCGCAGCCGCGACGAAAATGTGATGCAGCAAGGGTCTGCCACGCCACTGGGTTCGGAGACGGGCTTTTGTGAGTACGTGGAGAAGAAGAAGGGGAGAGCAAGCAAAAAAATAAATAAATAAAAAATGGAAATCTGCCTGTCCGTACCTTACCTTAGTGTGGTATAAACTGGGTGTGGGCTTGTCCTGACCTTGTCTTTAAGGTCGGCCGTACCCAAATTTAATAGTTTTGTCCCCTCGTCCCCCTTCTCTGCTGCGCTGTTTTGCTATTCGACATCAAACGTCCCGAAACCCCATCATGACTGGCTGGACGTACAACACGCCTGACGATGTACCGACTGATGGACCACGAATAACGGCGGTTTGTCTGACTTTTACAATCATTGCGCTCTTGTTGGTCTGTTTGCGATGGTATGTTCGGACAACGCTGGTCAAGGCTGTTGGCTACGGTATGTTGATCACTCGATGATGTCAGGGGGGGTCTGTCGCGCAGGAAGAGACTAACAAAGTAAAACTCTAGATGACTGGGTGATCATCGTCTCCTGGGTGAGTCAACACCAGATTCTTTTGCAATTTGCCTGCCCTTTGAGTACTAGCAAAACTCTGTAGCTTGGAGCTTGCGGCTACACGGTTTGCAGTGTCATTCGTAAGGATTACTTTTTCCGATGAAATACTTTAAAAACTCAAGTCTGACAGAAATACAGAGACAAAATGGGGCCTGGGCATCACTAGACTTGAGGATATGCCTCCACAAAACGTGCTCCCCTTTGGAAAAGCAAGACCACCTAAACACTTTCAGAGTTGACCTTTGCTAACTATCATTCAACAGCTTCAATTTATTGGCGGCCCATTGTGAGTACTTTACGAGATATAAACTGAAACAACGCAGCAGGATGAACTCAGCTAACAGCGCAAAATCAGCTACGTCCTCGGCATCTGGGGCTTCAAGATGAGCTTGCTATTCTCCTATCTTCGATTCTTCCCTGCCGGTGGCTACAAGATTGGCACCATTATCGTCGCGGTAGCTTGTACAATGGGACATATTGCCTTCATGTGCGTCTTCATCTTCTTGTGCACGCCGGTAAGTCATTTCAGCGCTCTCCGAGTACCAGAGTGGAATTTCAACTAACACGCGAACGCTCGGCCAGATCGAAAAACAATACGATCCGTCGATTCCAGCAGACGTAGGCCACTGCGTAGACGCAATCACATTCTACCTAACCTTCTCGTCCTTAACCATCGTTTTTGACGTAATCATGTAAGTCCCAGAACCATAACTCAACTGTCTCTCTTTCCTTTTGGGACCCCGACGCTGATGTTAACCTATCCCGAAAACAGAATGTTCCTCCCCTTCCCCGTAATCCTCAAATCCCAAATCCAAAAACGCAAGAAAATCGTCCTCCTCGCGCTCTTCATCCTCGGCATCTTCGTCACAATCATCCAAGCCATCCGAATCCAAACCATAAAAAGCCTCGTAAACTACCTCGACTCGGCAAAATCCATTCAATGGTCCGTCGTCGAAACCTGCATCGGCATCATCATCTCGTGCGTGCCCACGCTGGCCCCGATGGTCAAGTACTTTGCCGAGCGGAGCCGCAATGCAGGCAGCACCGCCGGCGGCGGCGGCGGCGGCGCTTCACGACCAAAGAGCTCAAAATACGCGCTGCAGACGTGGGGTACGAGGCGGAGCGGGATGCAGCCGCTGGGGGCGGGGATGGATGATGATCGGGACGGCAGTTTGACGACGAAGCCGGAGGATAGTACGGAGAATATACTCGACCCGAGTAGTATTGTCAGCAAGAGTAGGACATTGCATGCTGCGACGCCGAGTGAACCCGAGTCGTGGTCGGATCCGACGGATAAGGAGAGGAAGCAGGATGTATGAGGACAGCATACATGGGGGCTGGAGGACAGAGGCATTGATATGATACCATTTTTTGAACTATTCAGAGCGAACTAGCAAGCGTACATTATTGTCTAGCCTTGTAAAGCATAACAAGGGGTTGGAAGGAGTTCTACCTTCAAGAACCCCCTTTTCTTCAACCACGAGTCTTTCTCCACAGCCTGGCATTCCTGGAATGCCTTTGACATGTTTCGTGATCTGATTGCTCAACAACTCAGCAAGGCAGACATGGCAAGTCGGCCCAAATGAAGTAAGGACTCAGAGCGGTTCCACTCATGCCCTGGCTGTAAACCACCCCCTGTTCTTGGTACAGCACAAGATCTGTACTCCGTTTCGGTGTAACCATATCGCGATGATCCACGATCCAAGGTGGAGACCACACCGCCAGCAGCATTAATATATCATCGACCACTCGTGCCTTAGTAACCCCAAGCTTCTAGTTGCAGGCGTCTTATAATTATGCAGTTGCCAACTTGTCATATCAGACTATATGATGCTGGGTAGCCTGTGTTCTCTCAAAATCAGAGACATTCACAGTCGATTTCGGTCTCGGGTGGGCTCCACCACATCGTTGAAATATCCAGTCTTGAGTCGTCCTTTTTCATCATCATCAAATGTCATCATCATCAACACACGTAGCAAAATATTTTGGACAATGGGGATTCAATTTTTGAAAAGCACACAACATCTTGACCCAAGTTTTGTCCCTTTTGGATGAAAGATCGGACCGAGCATGTTCATTAGATACACCATACATCTATCAGGGCTGTTAAATCTTTGATTTGAATGAAAGCTTTGGAGAGCGTTACAAATCTGATTATGGAAAACTATAAATTATGTGAAGTTGCTGATTACCATTGAAACATCAAACGGAAAAGTCCAAACCAGACGTCATAGAACAGTGGTAATAGATAGATACTGAGCACTTATATTCATCACTTCAAATCGCAAGCTGGTCTAGTTTAATGGGGAAGAATATTTGCACCGTTGACGCCCTATACCACACCAAGTCCGCATACAAGAACGATTCATCTTGACTCCGTGTAAGAGACAATGCGGTGAGCTGTCTCTAAACAGACGTGGTATCCTTGAAGAATCTAGTGGTTGTATTATATGAAGCCAAGTTTTTCTTACCTGAGCTTAGTCAAACCGCGACTTACACCATCTTAGCTTCTCACATGTCTTCCGCGGCTGAACAAGACAACACTTTACTTTGCTAACCTGGACTGAGCCTAGCTTCCACCTTATCGCAAAGCTATGACCTGCGCGGTTACTGTTTAGACTTTAGCGCGTCTAACGCAACCGTGTACGTCAGAAATTCTGCCAATGTTTCTGTCCAGATGACCATCTGATGCAGGGTCGTTCCGTCGTCTGTTCTCTGCAGATCGCAAACCGCAGACGCACGTCCAAGGGAACAAAGGATCGAAGGGATGGAATAAAGTCAATTCGTATGCGTGGCTAACTCCCGCAAGTAAACAATCATTCGTAAATGTTGTCAACATAAAAAAAGAGTCGTGTATATATAGAACGCCTGCATTCCATTCTGGAAAACGTCATAAGACCATGAGCGCGTATATCAACACCAAAAAACAATCATAAATCAGATAATATCAAAACACCCCATGATAGACCGTTACCAAAAGGCTCATTAAATGAGAATGTTGTCGCACAGCTTCGCACATATGCCAATGCCATAGAACGCAACAAAGGTACGATGAGAAGGATGGAAGGTCAAAGAAGCAAAAGAAATCAGCATGGTGGTTGGTAAACCCCCCCTCGCCCCAGTGGATGCAGACATGGCGAGCATTTGTTTTCATCCACCTAAACAACACCATTCGAGCGGCGGCCACGGGATGATTCGATGCTGTCTCTCCTCATGGATGTAACCGAGAAACGTCTCGAGATCGCATTGTCAATCTCAACGTGGTCCACGTCAATGTGCTTCTTGGGCACCCAGATGACCTGGATCAGTCCAACAACGGCGAAGAGAGCACAGCTGAACCAGGCCGCAGCAGAGCCAGCGACACTGTAAATGACTCCCACGAGGGGCGGGGAGACGGTTCTCGCCAGACAGGCACCGGACATGGCCACGCCATTGACCTTTCCGAGGGCTTGCGATGTGGGCGTTGCATTCTTGATCAGGATAAGGGTGACGGGGCCAATGATGATGCCGTAGAAACTCTGCATGATGAGGGAGAACCAAATACCAGCCTCGGTGAGGCTTTCAGGCAGGGCGGACAAGAAAGGCAGCAGCAAATACGCGGTTGGGTATACGACAATCATGGAAATGAAGGAGCCCCAAACACCGACGCGTTCTACAAAGATGGGGAAAATGAGACCCTGGATGAGCAGTCCAAGAACACCGTTGATGGCCAGATAAACACCAACGTCGTGGAGGGAGTATCCCAGACCACCACGCAAATCAAGGTGTCCGCGCGGATGCTTGGGGTCAGAGGGATCGTCGAGTAGATATGTGGGCAAGAGGGTGCCGGCAGCCATTTGGTGGTATGAGAAGATGATGAAGGCAGCGATGAGCATGACGACGGTCTTGTTGAACGTCTTGACCTTCTTCTGTCCCGTAGCCTGGGCACGAGAATTCAAGAGGTGTTGCCGGAGATCTTCGGGGATAACCTTAATCGAATGTACCGTTCCAAAGGACGATCTCCTCAGGTCAAAGTCGTGCTCGAATGGCATGGGCAAGCTAGATTCCGCGAAGCGCGGTCGCGAATGGCTTGTGGAGATCGAACGACGCGGGTTGAAGGTTCGGATTGGTGCGCGGCGTAGGGGCGTGGTCTCATCGACGGCGTCATCATCATCGACGGCGACGCTGTTGCGACCGTTGTGGAGGTCGTCGTCCTCCTCGAATTCGAGAGTCTCCTCCAAGAAGAAAGCGCCCTGCAGGACAGCAAGGGAGATTGCTGCCATGGACACCAGGTTTGGAAGCAAGTACGGATTCCGGCCGAAAATGCCATCTTGAGAGAATACCGAAGGGTAGTAGACGGCGGGTTGAGCGAGGAAACCACCCATGGCAGAGCCAATAATGCCGCCCAGTGTCCATACGAAGGGTTGTACGGCGTAGGCCTTGGCTGTTCCCCAACAAAAAAAAATCAGTAAGCTGTCGTTCGCCGCAATTTGCGCCGATAATTACACCGGCAAAGAGTGAGAGAGAGAGAGACAGAGACACTCACGCTCATGGTCGGGATTTTTGACCATTTCTGCCACCATGGTCTGCATGACGGAAACGTTGCCATTGAGAGCGCCACCAACAAAACGGGCCAGTAAAGCGACCCAGTAGGACTTTGCGAAGCCGAAAATCAAACTCGAGATGGCGACACCGACCAGACCAAATAGCACGACGGGTTTGCGACCGATACGATCGGACAGCGTGCCCCATCCCATTGAGGTCATGGCCTCGGCGACTGCGTAGGCGGAGATCAAAAGACCTGCGTAGAAACCGGCATCCTCCTTCATGCCGAGGTCCTTGACCATTTCATAGGTGTAGGCCAGAATGGAATTGAAGGCGATGGGCTCGGAAAATCGACATATCGCTGTTGTTTACGCGCGTTAGCCCACAGTCGCAGTGAATGGCACTGGACAGCGCTGATAAGAAGCCTCCTTATCTGAGTTTCTCGAGAATGAGACGGAGGGAGAGGAGGGTTTGGACGTACCAAGAACGGCCAGTTGGCGCGTAGGAAACGCTTTGGGGTCTTTTCGTTTTGATTGAGGCATGGTGTGGGTATCGTGAGAAGCTCCTTTGTCTGGATGTCTTGGTGTTTCTGCTACACAGTTCAGACTTTCAGAGGTTGGAATGTTGGAGAGGAAATGTGAGCCAGGTAGGGTATGGGAGAGAAGAAGAAAGAGGATCGGGATGACGATTTTGGCACCATGTACATTACTGCGGGGTCGTGGAGAGAGGTTGGGGCCTTCCTTTGGGGGGCTCCCTTGGACTTTGGGAAGCTTGGGGGGCAGCTCAAGCCGCAAATCGCCATGGGGAAGCAATGGCCCGGGGGTAGTCTCGTTACTGGTAGGTATCTACTCCGTAGTGTACTCCGTAAATGGGGGGCAATGGGGGAGGCTTGGGAAGGCAAGTAATTCCCCCGTAGTGAGCGTGGTGACTTGCGTTAGCAGCAGCAGCACAGCGGGCAAGAAATAACGGCATTGGCGGCCCGCGACACCGACCCACCCAAATGCATGCACCTCACCGCCTGACCGGTTCATGATCGGCGCTTGACCGTTGGCCACACACGTGCAAGCAGCATCTCATCATCCTACCTACCTTACCTTAACATAAGGTAGGTATCCATTCTCTTCTTTGCCTCCCCACGTTCATCATCCCGAGACCTATGGCATGTCGTCATGTTGGCGAAGCATCGGGGATCCATCCGGGGGGCGGCCCCTCGCAGCTGTCCCGTCATCGAAACCACTATAAGAAATATTGTTGCCCATGGGTAACTTGGGGTAAGTAAACATTGAGGTTCCTTTGAGACTGCGGGCAAGACAATGGCGGATTCGGAACTTAATCTGGGGAACTTGACTCAGGTTAGTCTTCTCCGTAGTGTAACCGTCGCACTTGGCGGTTATTGAAATACCTGCCGCCGCCCGCTTGAGGTGAGGTCATGCACTGTGATACCAACCTACCTACAGACACCGACACCGACACCGACCACCACAATTGATGATCTCATCCTGCAATTCAAAATTCGCCCCCATTTCGAGCATACATCATACAGTCGCCTTACGCCTGGCCCTCCCCCCGATAGCAGACCAATTGGCCGTCTTCATGTTAGCTCATGCTCCTTACCCTTAGTTGACAAAGACTAGCAATGAGGCTCGTCTCACGACCTGAGTAGTGCGACGCTCGGAACTGTCCTTTTTGTCTTGCTCGAATCCGGCCTAGACAACGATCTGGAGACTGGATAGACCGGTCATTAAAAAAATAAAAAATAAAAATAAAAAAAGGACTCAAGCTCGGGTCTGCGGTTGTGCGACTTTTCTTTTTTTGTGGAAATTTCCCGGAGCCGAACCTCCTGCCGTTTGGAGTCTACATTGCCTGAGGTACTTGCCTGCCACGCCTGCTTACTTACTGCCCACACCTTGGAGTCGCCTCCTTGGACCTTCCAATTTGGAGTCGTTGGAGATCTCAGAACTGGCGGTGTGCTTACAATCTCACAATCTCACCATCCCACAGGCAAAGCAATCTCAATCTAACCTGACTCCTAAATTAGCTACCGAGCAATTGAGCGCTAAATCTCAGTCGAGCCTACCTTAGACTGCTTAGGTCCGACGTCGTCATGTTCTCAGACACCCTCCCCTGAAGTCAACGCCATCATCTACTTACCTACTCACACAGCAAAGCGCGACGCGCCTTCTTTTTTCCCCCTTCAGGCAAATATCCCCGTCTCAAGAATACGTGCACTCCATGAATCGATCACCTACTGGCAGAGAGACTGCTTGCGTTATTTCCCACCTTCATTGCCAGGTACGGAATCTCTCTTTCGTATTTTCCGTGCCCGTCTAGCTGAGCTGGCGCGACTCCACGGTGAAAGCTCATCTTCCCCGACGACGATAAACCCAACCACCTTTCACTTTCCTCATGCGGGTGCTCTCACTCAACCACTACGGGCATTTCAAATGCACAGCTCGACGCTTGCGGTCAACCAACAGCTTTTCAATAAGTTCATGTTGGCACCTCATCCTGGGCTCATCTGGAGCGAAAGCAGGACTCTTCTCCATATTTCCATTCTCCTCGTGTATGATGTACGCCCTCCAGATTTCATGGTCCACAACCGTCTACACAGCAAAGAGCGAACGACTGAAAGATTATAGTCTGATCTCGAGTGTAATGAGCGAGGATGCGTGGGCAATTGCAAAGTCGCGAGCCGTCTCAACCTGTGTTCATGTTTCTTTAACCAGGAGTTACTCTAAAGTGGGATGCAGTCGTGACGGAAAGATTTGAGGTCTTGGCAATCGCCAGAATGCAACCACACAACTGTTGCTATGCTTGAGGATCTCGGTTGACTAGCGTCACATGAAGGCTGGGGTCCAACTATGTTCTTCACCTCCTACCTGCCCAGGAGAGGACACCCTAAGGGCCTTGCAAGCTGTCTCACGACACCAGGAAACTCTCGTTCCTTGCAACACGGGGTGGTCATCGCGCAGCTAACGATCATAAACAGAATGTGGGATTCTCATGCTCGCCTTAGACCAGAGCCTGGAACATGAGTTGGGTGAGCACATCCTCCTCGCATCTGATCGGCAACAGCCCCTTCTTAATCCAACCTCATAATTAACACGAAGGGCACTTTCGTCAGTTGACGTGTGCATGAGAGAAGATGGCTCCCGCTTCACGTAACCAGCTTGGATTGATGTGTCGACCGTTACGAAGCTCGATCCAGCCCTTCTACTGGCGGGATGTAACGACAAGTAAAGACCCGAACAAGGAAGAAAGCACACAATAGCCGGGCCATCAAAACGCATGTTCAAGTCTGGCCACCTTTCTTCGAGTCTTGTCTTCTTTGTCTTGGTTGTATCCTTCCATGACTTTGGTAAGAAAGCAGAGGGTTTGACAACATGTGAATAGATAGAAGGACAGAGCACTAGGCCAAGTACTCACCGAGACAAAGGGCGAAGGGCGGGTTTCCCTGTGGCATGGTCTCATGGCAGGCATAATGGCAGGGTGTCACAATGGAATCTTCTCAAAAGGAGTCCCATCAAACGAGGTTGCCTGATCAGTCATCACCGAGAGGCCAGACCACCGGTTCGAGAAGGGCTTGCATGCTGTTTGTTCCCTGCTTGAGCTTGGCCAGCCAAAACCCGAGAGCTTGGATATCAGGATGGCATATCCCAAGTCCCCTAGATCTCGCATTGCGAGATCGAGGGTCCACACCGGAAGACAGGAGTTCATAGCCGGGATCATTCCCTCCCTCGTATCATGGAATCTTGCCTACCGCTACCCCCTCGAGTATCCGGTAGCAGTTGCGTAGGTAATCATTGCCCAAACTTTCTCTGCAGAGTTCTCAAAGCCCTCGATAAGGACCTTGCGCGATCTTTGGAGACTTTGAAGGTTTAGGTCGATAAATCGATATCTTGATCCCTTATCTGAGCCTGGAATGGTTCGTCCCCAGTGAACCCTTGACGGCGGACGCGCGCCGCTAGGCAGGGGCCAGGGTGTTGGTGGGACAGATGGATAACGCAGGGAAGCAAGGGGTGGGAAGTTTGAAGGTGACGCTTGAATGCCCAAGCAAAAAAGATCTCTAGAACTTGGATGAGTTCTCGTCTATATCTGGTTTGGACCAACAGTTGGACCAAAGATTGAGAAGCGTAATTGTGACACTGATGTTGGAAATGGACGTATTTCGTAGTCTTTCGTTACGAAGCGCAACACATTCGGAATCCCTTCAGTCTCGGGTAATTGAGAATCTCGGCTTCACGAGCACGGCGTCGATGGAAGCTTCACCCTTGAAGTTCAACAGTGGATGTATAACCTCACAGCCCCAGCCGACTTTACGATCCCTACCTTGTTGCTTGTCTCTATGGTCCAACGTCAAATGATGAACTTCCATGTCGCTGCCGTGATACTAGAATCTCACCAACGACCAATCCCTAGATTGCCTGCTTCGTTACACCTGAGTTTTGGAAACCTTTCATTGACCCAAAGGATTCAACGGATAGCCATCCGAATGAAGAAATGTCAGGACAAGCCCTGCTCCCTTCTGTACACTCAACTAAAGGAAAGCTCATGAACACCACAGCTGTAAGCAACAATGGCCTGCCAAGCCCATGCTCCTAACTCGCTCCTTGTGTAGCTTCTTTGGGCGAAAACCACAAGCCAAACTGCAGGAAATCGCTGCGCCGTCTGAACTCTGGTTACTTGGTTTTCTCAAAGTCCGAAATTTCTCGTACGAGTCAAGTGTTGTGCAGGGACTTTTTCCCAACGTGGAATGTTCGTCCTTGGCCGATCTTTCTCCTACCTTTTGTATTCCCAGGATAAAACAAGGTGAAGAAACATGAGTCTCTTGTGACTTTCCTTTGAAAGAACCAAAAACCCGCGGTTGTTTGTGAGCGCCTGCCGAGTTTGCCTTGCTACCAAAGTCTCAGAACAGAACTCCTTAACGCCAAAGATTGTGAACCCACGAGATTCTCCCTCGATGAACACCGTCAATCATGGCAAAGACATCAAACTCTGAAGACTCTGACTATGTAGACAGTTTGCGAATGCCCATATATAAAGACAATTATCAGACCCAGATCTCTTGCTTTCCTTCCTCCTCACTTGTTTCAACTGGCAGACGCAGACAAGCAACAAGGCCTTAGACTCGACCAATCAAACCCAAACAACCTCTCCAACCGTCATCATCAAACATCTACCTCACGAAACTCCAAACAATATACTCAAAACCGCTATCACAACCATCAAACCATGAAGTATTTCGCAGCCCTAACCATACTGGCCTTCACCACCAACGACATCGCCCTCCCGGAGGCAAACCCCTACAAACACGTATTCGCCTGGCCAGGTAGAAAGACGGGCTGTTGTCAGTTTGTAGGCTAAGGCTGCTGGAAAGCAAAAGAGAAGCGCGCAGCCGCGCTCAAGCGCGAGGCCGTCCCGGGAGAAGGGTGGTGCCAAGACATCAACCAGCCATGCTGGAAGACAAAGACCGACACCGAGACCGATACGGTGACGGCTATCACGGAGACGACAATAGAGACACAGAAACGAGACCCCGAAGCAAAGAAACCCTCAAAATGCCTCACAACCTGGCCCGGCAGAAAACAAGGCTGGTGCCAGTCCGTAGGCCAAAGCTGCTGGAAAGTCAAACGCGCAGCAGACACCTTCGCCGTGGCCCTCGCAAAGGACGACCTCGTCGTCGACCGCGAGTCTCCGCAGGCCCTCGCCTCTCATGCCCGGGGCGGCGCCGCGTACACGGCTAAGCGCGCGCTCAACGAGCTTGCCGACATTGTTGCCGCTTCGCAGGATGACCCGTTCTACTACTATGGCGGGCTGGATATCGGGAACCACTTTGCGGCTGATACGCCCGAGGCAGAGGCCGTTGTCGCGCGCCGAGACGTGGAGGCTGAGGGGGGTTGGTGCGATAGGAAGCTTATCGGGCAGCCGTGCTGGAAGCGCGATGTTGAGACGAGTGGTGATGACGTCTGTTCTGGCGAGAGGCGTTGGTGTAATCGGCCTGGTGCACCGTGTGCTATTGCGAGGCGCGCAGCCGAGGCACTGCTTGATGCTATTGATGGCGTCGTCGACAGCGAGGAGGAGGGAAATGAGGCTCAAGATGCCGAGACCGAGGCCTTTTGCACCGGCCGTGATCAGGATTGCTGGACGCGGTCGGCTGATCCCGCGGTGTGGAAGGCTTCTTGCGATCTAAAGGCCATGAAGGCTGCTGCGCGCGACCTGCTTGAGGCCGTTGCCTAGAGGGATGTTTGAGGTCCTCTGTTCCGTTGATATCCTCATAGAGCGAACGTGTCTGACTGACGATACTTCAGCAGTGACTACTGCCGGATCTCCATATCAACTTTGATGGAGCTACTCTTCTTCTCGTGTGCAATATGTCCAAAATTTGGCTTGGCCGTCGAGCCAGGCTTTGACTAGACAATGTCGACAAAGAAAAAGGTGGACAAAAACGATGATCCGAAAACGAACACAATCATACACTCCCAATGTTTCCTCTTCTGGTAGTAGGCTGCTTGCCGCTGATAAGACATATGATGTCGTCTTTTGCTTTTATATTTGTATAGGCGATGGAGGAAAGAACCTCCTGGCGCCTTTTTTCGTGTGTATGATGGTAGTCACGTCTCGGTCTTGACGCTCATCGTCCCCGCGGGGTGACGAGGAGACAATTCGGGCCTGATTGAGACGCTCGTCTCATTCGGTAAAAGTAATGGAATTCTCGTGATGGAAATCAGATCTCGTCTTCTGATGAAGTGGAGTGCAGGACGACTAGTACGCTCTGTACAGCATCCCAGTGACAAATTTTGAGCTCCTGGCCAGTGCCTCAGGGAAGGACACGAGTATGTGTCTGATCGTCTCCGACAATATCAAGGCTCACAGCAGGAAAGAGCCGCAGCTTTCTCCAGCGTTGCACATGCTTGGTAGACGCTGAGCCAGAGGTTCGTGAAGCCAATCACCACATGGAAACGTTCAGCCCGTTGCCTCAGTCTGGTGTCATGAGACGAGACTCCGTCTAAGACCTGATGAACCTGTTAAGCCAGGGTAATAATGCACAGATGGAACACAACGACCAGCCGAGCATCTCTACTCATCAAATGTTTACAATGGTCGAACATAGTATGTACGCTCAATCATTGCGGTCCCCCTCACGTGCCCGTAGGCCGAGGGGCACCGCACCCAAGATTGTTCGCTTCCTTCTCCATTTCGATCTCCGTGTCCGATGGTCCTGGGTCCAGCAAAAGAGCGAACCTCTCAACAGACGTTTGTTTTCACGAGAACATGAATGTTTTTATTTTGCGTTGTTCAATAATGAAGAAGAAAGGAATGAAACTGAGCAAAGGTGCGCCGCGCAGGTCGCGTTTTGTAGTGCGCCCGCGAGAATTTTTTGAGAGGGTCCGTGCCTCAGGCAGCCAAACGACTCGACTGGACGACCCAAATGGGCGGGCACGAGGAAGGGTGGAAGGCAAGAAGGGTCCTTCCATCCTTTGCGGCGTGCTCCCCCCTGCCTTCCAAGTGTTTGACACCCGCGGCCGGTCTTCGGCAAGCTGCGCTCCCAAGTGGGTCAGCTGCAACGACATGCCGTCACTGGGTGCTAGTCATTCCCAATCTCCCGCCTGTGCTGCTAGCACCAAGATAATCTCCCCTGGGATTGGGAATTGCTTCTTCAAACACCAACACAACAAACCCACAAACCACACATACACAAGATGGTCAAACCGACATCAATGGCCGTAGATGCCCTTCCGAGGTTTCTGCTTCCTAGACTCAGCTGGACTGGTCCTGCGACAGCATCCCAAGCCCTGCGGCCTGCTTCGGCACTCCCTCCGAGCTCGCGCCGTCGGATGCATACCCGAACCAGCGCTTTCCAAGAGTCGAATTTACCACCGAGATGCCGCAGCAATGGCTTCAACACCAAGGGTAGCTCGATACTGGCGAGCCCGGGCCTCACTAGGTCCTTTCATGCGACTCCTTCACGGCAACGAGATCACCACTTTGATACCTTGAAGTTCGTCCAGCGGATGAAGAGCGAGGGCTTCACGGAGGTGCAAGCCGAGGCCACGATGAAGGTCCTGAACGATGTAATACAAGAAAGGTATACGACAGCGCCCTCAGTCAGCATACCATACTTTCTAACAGCAGAGCAGCATACAGAACCTCACCCGAACCATGGTCCTCCGCGAAGACGCCGCCAAGGCAACCTACACGCAAAAGGTCGACTTTGCCAAACTGCGCTCCGAACTCCTTTCCGCCGATAGCACCGAGTCGAGCACGACGCGCGCGTCCCACGAGAAGCTCGGCAACGACATTGCGAAGCTGAGCTCCCGGCTGCGCGACGAGATCGGTCGGACCCAGGCCAGCGTCCGCCTGGACCTGAACTTGGAGAAGGGTCGCATCCGCGAGGAGGCTGTCGGCCAGGAGCTCAAGATCAAGGAGACGGAGACAAAGATTGAGCAGGAGGTGGCGGCGCTGCGCGAGAAGCTTGAGCAGGTCAAGTTCCAGACGCTGCAGTGGCTGATGGGAGTGTGTACTGGCTTCGCCGCTCTGCTTCTTGGTGCCTGGAGGTTGCTCATGTAGATGAGCTCAATCCCTGCCTTGGCGCGTTGTCACACATCACTGGTGACAGTTCAGAGTGAATCGGCAGATGCCAATATGCTTTGTAAATGCAACGTATTGGCGTCCACCTAAGGGGATGTCCATTCCATCTTACCTTTGTTCGTAGCTGCCTTGAGTTTAAAAGGCACGGCATTTGTCTATGGTATGTAGATCCAGGTCTCATTGCCAGGCAGCTTGCCTCGAATTTTGTTGTAGGAAAGGCCCTAGATGTCCTTTTCGCATAGGCTGGCAGAGAACCACGTAGATAAGACACATGTTAACCCCACTTGGAGTTTGCCGAAAGCTCTCTTCCAGCTACTTACAAGACCCCATTTGCTCTCTTCCGCCCACCCATGGATATTTCCCGTGCGTTGAAATGCTTCAACATCTCCAACAAGTTGTCAACATAAATCCCACTGTGGTTGCTTCACCTTTCTCTCCTGCCTTTCGATGACTCTGTAGAGTTCATATCAATCCCGAGCACATCACGATTTACTTTACTTCAGATACGGAGAATATCCGGTTTCCTGTCCCCGAACCCATCATTGCTCAGATTTTGAAGATATTCCCTACATTGCCTCAAAATCAGGCCTATGGAGGGAGGTATTGCCGCTTCTTCAAGAATTTGAGCTTCATCATGGCGAAGCTGATGCTTTCGGCCTCATTATAAGCTTCCTTATGATGGGAACCTTCCCTCAGCATCCGCATATCCGTATCCGATTGGCGTCCGACACGACAACCTGAGACACGAGCTGTTGATTTGGCTTGGAGTTGAGATGTCCGGCAAAGGAAGGGTGAGTAGTTAAGGTAGTTGCATCAAGTTGGCAAACAAGACAGAAATACTGCAAGATGGATGATTTTATGCAGAGACGGTTCTAGTGACATGGAGGGCATAATTCCAAGTACCATACCGACAGATTTTCTTGCAGTCCCTTTGCTTGATAACAGGAGATACGGTGTTTATCCAAGGTATTCGGAACCCAAGGCGGAAAGGCTTCAGGGTCAGGCCGGCAGGTCGCCGGACTTGAGAGGTGGGCAGTCGCTTATGTCATCCCGCATCCGGTCAAACATGCCTCCGGTCAGGAACCTGGAAACGGACACCTCAGCAAGATAGCCACGTGACAGGCCCACTGTTGAAGAGCCAGACGCACAGTCCATGCGGGTGGGGATTGGCTGAAGACAGCAAGGAACAGCAGGAGCAATCAAGCCTGGCCAAGCTGGCAGCAAACCACAGACCTCAGGTGTCGCGCACCCGGTTCAGTGCGTAACAACCTGGCACTCAGGTACTTTGTACACTGGCAGGAACGAACCGAACAGGCAACGTAAGGTACTGCACCTAAAATAATCTCCAACCTTCCACCTCACCACAAGCGAACTACGTATCCCGTACCCATCTTTCCCATTTCCATTCCTCCCACCACCACCACCACCCCAAACAAAACACCCATCATCACCGTTTGCCCTCCAGATTGTCATCACTGCGAGGTGCATCGTTACCCCGTACTTACGCCTCCTCTTTACCGCTCTTTGTTTCCCTGTATTAATTGCCTTTTGCGCATTCAGTCGGGTCGCAAGGAAGCTATCCCCAGCTCCTACTCCTTTCTCTCCCCAAATACACGACACCCACGTCGCCCTATCCACGAAATCCCGCGACACCCGATCAGCTACCCATTCCGAATCCGCGAACTGACACCGCCTAGCGAAGGAGCGCAACTTGGTCTCTGGAAGCTTCTTGTCACAGATAACGCCTGTCATGGCGCCACTACCGATCAAGTTCCAGGAGCTGATCCAGCTCCAGACTGCCGGTGTCGAGGACGCTTCCATCGGCTTCAACTCCTGCGTGAGCCATCAACGCCCGACCATCCCTTTGACTCAATGGAATCATCATGACTGACTTTTTCTCTTCCAGACACTCGAGTCAGACTCCTATGTCTGTATTCGGGAAAAGAAGAACGAAGCTGCCCAACCCGAAGTTGTCATCGTCGACCTCAAGAACGGCAACAATGTCACACGGCGCCCCATCAAGGCCGACAGTGCCATCATGCACTGGACTCGTCAAGTCATCGCCCTCAAGGCACAATCGAGAACACTGCAGATCTTCGACCTCGAGAAGAAGGCGAAACTCAAGTCCACCACCATGAACGAGGACGTCCAGTACTGGAAGTGGATTAGCGACACCACTTTGGGCCTGGTTACAGATACAGCAGTCTACCACTGGGACGTCTACGACCCCAGTCAGGCTCAGCCCGTCGAAGTATTCAAGCGCAATGCTAACCTGAACGTGAGTGCAATGTTCTTCACCCTTGGCATGTCACCAAACAGCCTGCTAAATACATCCAATACAGGGTTGCCAAATCATCAACTACCGAACCAACGCCGAGGGCAAGTGGATGGTGGTTGTCGGTATCTCGCAACAGCAGGGCCGCGTGGTTGGCGCCATGCAGCTGTACTCCAAGGACCGTGGCATCAGCCAGGCTATTGAGGGTCACGCCGCCGCCTTTGGCTCGCTGCGCCTGGAGGGAGCTCCCGCTGACACCAAGCTCTTTACCTTTGCTGTGAGAACCGCTACTGGCGCGAAGCTTCACATTGTCGAGGTCGATCACGCCGAGTCAAACCCCGTATTCCAGAAGAAGGCTGTCGACATCTTCTTCCCTCCCGAAGCCGTCAGCGATTTCCCGGTGGCTATGCAGGTGTCGCAGAAGTACGGTGTCATCTTCATGGTCACCAAGTACGGATTCATCCACGTCTACGACCTCGAGACCGCCGCCTGCATTTTCATGAACCGAATTTCTAGCGATACCATCTTCACCACCTGCCCCGACAACGAGTCTCGCGGTATTGTCGGCATCAACCGCAAGGGTCAAGTGCTCTTCGTTTCGATCGACGACGCCAACGTTATTCCCTACCTACTCCAGAACCCGGCCAACACCGATATGGCTATCAAGATGGCATCACGAGCTGGCCTCCCTGGTGCTGATAATCTGTATGCTCGTCAATTCGAGCAGCTCTTCAACAGCGGCCAGTTCATGGATGCTGCCAAGATCGCGGCCAACTCTCCCCGACAATTCCTTCGAACCGCCGAGACAATCGAGAGATTCAAGTCGCTCCCGCAGCAGCCTGGTCAGATGTCCTTTGTCCTGCAATACTTTGGTCTTTTGCTCGACAAGGGTGCGCTGAACGAGCACGAGTCCATTGAGCTCGCTCAGCCCGTTCTCGCTCAGAACCGCCTCAACTTGTTGGAGAAGTGGCAAAAGGAGGGCAAGTTGACTGCGTCCGAGAGACTTGGTGACCTTGTCCGCCCTCATGACCTAAACATGGCCCTCACTCTGTACCTCAAGGCCAACATTCCTCACAAGGTTGTTGCTGGCTTTGCCGAGACGGGCCAGTTCGAGAAGATCCTGCCCTACGCCTCCCAGGCCAACTACCAGCCCGACTACGTCCAGCTCCTTCAGCACATCGTTCGTGTCAACCCGGAGAAGGGTGCAGAATTCGCCACAGCCTTGGCCAACAACGAGGGCGGTTCTCTGGTCGATATTGAGAGAGTGGTCGACATCTTCCAGTCCCAGGGCATGATTCAGCAAGCCACGGCTTTCTTGCTGGATGCGCTCAAGGACAACAGACCTGACCAGGGCCATCTTCAAACTCGTCTCTTGGAGATGAACTTGATGAATGCTCCCCAGGTCGCCGATGCCATTCTCGGAAATGACATGTTCTCTCACTTTGACAAGACTCGCATTGCGACACTTTGTGAACAGGCCGGTTTGGCCCAAAAGGCGTTGGAGCTCTACGAGGACCCCGCTGCCGTCAAGCGTGTCGTTATAAACATTGCGGCCACTCCCAACTTCAACATCGACTGGTTGACCGGGTTCTTTGGCAAGCTGTCTGTGGAGCAATCTCTGGACTGCTTGGACGCCATGATCAAGCACAACATCCGCCAGAACCTGCAAGCTGTGGTCCAGATTGCCACTAAGTACTCCGACTTGCTGGGCCCTGTGCGCCTGATCGATCTTTTCGAGAAGTACAAGACTGCTGAGGGTCTCTTCTACTACCTTGGCAGCATTGTCAACCTTTCCGAGGACCCCGATGTTCACTTCAAGTACATCGAGTCTGCTACTAAGATGGGCCAGTTCAATGAGGTTGAGCGTATCTGCAGAGACAGCAACTACTACAACGCCGAGAAGGTCAAGAACTTCCTGAAGGAAGCTAGACTCCAGGAGCAGCTGCCCCTCATCATCGTCTGCGACAGATTCAACTTCGTTCACGACTTGGTCCTCTACCTGTACCAGCAGCAGCAGTTCCAGTCCATCGAGACTTACGTCCAGCGTGTCAACCCCAGCCGTACCCCCGCCGTCATCGGTGGTCTGTTGGATGTTGACTGTGATGAGAGCATTATCAAGAACTTGCTATCGACTGTCAACCCTGCCTCTATTCCCATCGATGAGCTCGTGTCTGAGGTTGAGTCTCGCAACCGTCTCAAGCTTCTGCTTCCCTTCCTTGAGGCTACCCTTGCTGCCGGCAACCAGCAGCAGGCTGTTTTCAATGCTCTCGCCAAGATCTACATTGACTCGAACAACAACCCCGAGAAGTTCCTCAAGGAGAACGACCAGTACGACACTCTCAGCGTCGGTAAATACTGTGAGAAGCGCGACCCCAACCTCGCCTTCATCGCATACTCGAAGGGTCAGAACGACCTCGAGCTCGTCAACATCACCAACGAGAACGGCATGTATCGCAACCAGGCTCGTTACCTGCTCGAGCGGGCTGACCGCGAGCTGTGGACTTTTGTCCTCAGCGAGAACAACATTCACCGCCGTTCTGTGATTGACCAAGTGACCGCGACCGCGGTTCCTGAGTCCACCGATCCCTCCAAGGTTTCTGAGGCTGTTGCCGCCTTCCTTGCCTGCGATCTTCCCCTCGAGCTCATTGAGCTCCTCGAGAAGATTGTTCTCGAGCCGTCACCCTTCAGCGACAATACCAACCTT